ATAACAGCCATCCTTCGTTAATGAAATCTCAAAATATTCTAAAATTAACAAAAGTTAATGGTTAACTTTTGTTAATTATATTGACTAAGTTCTCTTCAAAATACGTAAGTTCTTTGGTGATAGAAAGTTGAAAGTATTTAAAATTATTATATCAATAGAACTTAATATTTAATGAACTACGTTTATATATTTGACATGGGTTATTACTATCTTTATACTTTTGTTAAATATTTATTTTCAAATTTATTTTGAAATTTGATTAATATAAACGTGAAATTATTGCTCATCACAAATGTTTAAATATTTTGACCATCAATTAAAACAGAAACTGCATATGTACGTGCACTGTGGTAATTTTATAGAATGGGGTTTGAAAATGAGGCTCGAGTAACAGTCAAGCTCAAGGGTTGCATTCCTGGAAAGGAAACCCTCTAAGGAAACCCTGGAAATATTGAAACATTCCCAATAACATAAATAAAGCCAACGTAGATGTTGTCGCTATCTAAACCTAACCTAAACCCATTTATTAATTAATAGTTAGTTGGTCAATCAAGACATGCGATTAATTTTGTCTCTTCGTTCTCCAACGAAATCACCAACAATATCTGCGTTTATTTATTAACTCTTTAAAGAGTGTCTTAATTAACGTAACATTTCATTTCTAATTTTTTTCAATCAATTTATATTCAATCATTCTACCTTTTAACATTGAATATTGAATTCTTAATATTGAATTTATATTGAATTTTTAATATCAAAGGAAATTCTACGTATTTGTGTAATGCTTTCTCTTTTCATATATCATCCATTTGAAATTTATAATATTACGTTTGATGCTGGAACTACCGACGATTCATGCATAAAATTTCCATCAGTTACTAAAGTTAAGAAAAAAGAAAAGACAGAAGAATTTTATAATACGACAGAGTACACAAGCTTTTATATCAAAAGTCATTTAAATCTCGGAGAACGCACACCATTTTACATCTATAATATTTCTAAAAAGAAATTATAAATTAGTCATTTCGACTACTTTGGTAGTTCCAGTGTTAAAGAAATCAAAATATTTGTAACACTGTGATAAAGTATTGCTCGATCCATGATGGTTTGCTATTCATTTCTTTCTTGTATCTTATTTTTAAATTTATAGTAATCGAAATATTTTTTATAATACTGTGTCAAATCGTTGCGGATTAACTTTAAATCACATCTCTGTCTTCATTCCTCAGAGACACCACTAACAACCTCCGCGTCCATTTTATCACGTTAAATAAAAGAAAATGACTACTTCTAGAAGATTTTCATATTATTCTAGAGACCAGAGGATCTTGTTTGTACACCAACTTGTTTCTTTTCTTTTTGATCGTTTCCCGTGGTCCCGCGGATTTTATTTGCATGAAAAACAGCAGCGACAAAAGAACGCGGCGTTTCGGACAAACAAAACGAAGAGAATTCGGTTATCTTGACGAACTGTGCCCGCTGGAATAATAAGAGAATGTAAACCAGATGGCCTCTGTATAAGCCGTTTGCATTTTCAGCGCCGTAACTTCCCGTTATTAAACCTTGCCCGCAGGGATCCTCGCGGAATTTTATGAAGATTTTGAAATGAGGTGAAATACTAGGCTTGCGGCGCAGATGTCAGATTTAATACTAATTCAAGAGCTCTCAACTTTTGTACAACTTCGATCGCCCGTGCAATCGATAGAAAGAGTGACGGAGAACAGATAGCAGGTGAGTTTGGGATATTAAATTTAAAATGGATTCTTTTTTTTTTTTTTTTTTTTTTTTT